TGGTCTCCAGGTTAAAATTGATCTGTGCCATTTGTTTAGATCGCTCCTAGCTACATGTCCAGCGTATTCCCATTTCAACTTTAATGTTTGAAGGTTTTTTATTGAAAAAGGAGTTCATTGAGTACATGTTATGTTCATTTATGAAATTGAGAAGCATTTCTCCTCTATCGTTTCTTTTCCCGTAGCCATAGTTACCAATTAAATGTTCATAATCTTCCTCTATTTTGCCCAATTTAGCATTAAAATCTCCTAATAGTATTTCGTAATTTGCTTTATTTGTTTCTATAGCTGTTCTTATTTCTTCATAAAATATTTCTACTTCTTCATCGTCGTGGCTTTTGGTCGGAGCGTACACTTGGATCACTTTCAGAGTGGTTCTTTTATTAATCCTAATGATGAGATATGCTACTCTGTCTGATATGGGCTTGAATTCTTCGATACACTGTGTGAGGCTTTGTTTTACCAAGAATCCCACTCCAGTGTATTCGCCACCTTTATGCATAAAATGTGTGCCATTTTTTAGTATTATATACTCATCACTTTTTCTTCTGGTCTCGCATATACCAAGGATATCCCATTTTATATCCTTTAGTTCACTTTCTATTTCTGGGAATCTCTTGTCGTCCGTCAGTGTTCGAATATTGTAGGAGCATAGCCAAATTGTCTTCTTGTGGCAGCCGGGTCTTACCCAGGGATTGTGATAGTATACAACCATGTCTAACTCCTTTTTGGATGTTTATGGTTTCAGTATCACCCATTTCAGTTCTGACAAAGGCGTTTTGGTTCCAGTAGAGTTCACGTAATTGAGTTTTAAGTTTTAAAATTATGTACCTTCTTCTAAATGTGCCTATCTTCTGGAGATGTTGGCGACCACATTGAACCATCTTATTATATTCACAGCAGCTCGAAATAGATCAGTTGACGTTAGACCGGTCCACTTCCTAAGATTGGCCAGCCAGGATATACGTCTACGTCCAGGGCCTCTTTTACCCTCAATCTTGCCTTGTAAAATCAACTGTATAAGTCGTAATTTATTATTACGCATGATATGGCCGAAATAAGCCAATAAATTTTCTGTTGTTTACGGTGTTAATAATTTCTTTGTTAATACCTCCAATCGTTTTATGGCATCTTCTGTAAGGCTTCAGCTTTCTACTTCATAGAGTTCAAGTACTTCATACTTAAAGATAAGTTGCACAAAATCTTTCTAAGGCTGTTGAAATTATGTATAACTAAGAAAAAAATAAATCTCTCTCGTTTTAAAATCTTATCTAAAGATGTGAAATAATTACTTGGTGTAGTTACTGAGTAAGCAAAATAGTTCGTTAATGTAATTAAATGTTTGGTGCACTGGCGTTTTGGTTAAATTTAATAATCAACCAACTTGATTTGATACTCCATTACCTTTACCTAAATTTTCATTTGTTTCCCTTAGATCCTGGTCATTTTATTCATTTTCTGTCCCTTTAGCTTAAACGAGCTATAAAATGTTTTCGTTGGCTTTGTGTTTATTTGAAGTTGTTATTTGTTAATAATCTCGTGCATCTAGTGTAACAGCATCTAGTGTTTATCGAATTATAAAATCCAATAAATTTCACCCTTATTAAATACGATTACTTCATCAATCAACTTAAAACGAATAAATGTCCGGGAGAGGATAAGATTACAGTTGAAATGTTGAAAATTGGTGGCAGAAAAATTGAACAGGTATTAAATGTTTTATTTAATAAAGTAATTGATGCAGGAAAGATTCCTCAAGAATGGTACAACTCCGAGGTCATTTTACTATTCAAGAAAGGAAACAGAGCAAACATCGAGAATTGCCGACCAATATCCTTCCTATCACATCTGTATAAATTACTAACTAAAATCATAACCAACCGCCTAACACATAAGCTCGATTTCTATCAACCTATCGAGCAAGCTAGATTCAGAAAACATTTTAATACCATAGACCACTTGTACACCGTAAGAACACTGATAGAAAAATGCACCGAGTATAATGTTCCAATTCATATGGCGTTCGTCGATTTCCATAAAGCATTCGATTCCATCGAATTATGGGCAGTGCTTGAATCTCTAGAAAATGCACGCATAGATTCAAGATCTTCTTCTTCTTCGGGTTCCTTCTCCTAGCGGAGGTTGGAAATCATCATCGCTATTTTAACTTTGTTGGCCGCATTTCTGAATAATTCTAATGAGCTGCAGCCGAACCACTCTCTCAAATTTCTTAGCCAGGACATTTTGCGTCGTCCTGGGTTTCTCTTCCCTTGTATCTTCCCTTGCATAATCAACCTCAGTAATACGTACTTCTCACTCCTCATTAAATGTCCCAGATATTGAATCTTTCTAATTTTAACAGTTTTTATGACTTCACATTCTTTCTTCATTCTTTGTAACACTTCTATATTAGTTACTTTTTCAATCCACGATATTTTATGCATTCTCCTGTAGCACCACATCTCAAAGGAGTTTAATTTTTTGATTTCAGACTGCTTTATTGTCCACGCTTCCAAGCCATATAGTAAAGTAGAGAAGACGTAACAACGTAGCATTCTTGTGCGAATCTCTAGATTAAGGTTACGGTTGCAAAGTAATTTCTTCAATTTTATGAACGTGTTTCTTGCCATTTCTATTCTAGATCTGATCTCCTTTACTTGATCTCCATCTTCGGTTAGCCACGTTCCTAAATATTTATATGTTTTTACTCTTTCTATCGTTGTATTATTGATGATCAGGTTATTTACATTTTGTGGTTTTTTTGAGAATATCATTGATTTCGTTTTCTTGAGATTCATTTGCAGTCCGTAACTTTCACATGCATTGTATACATGTTGTATTATGTACTGTAGATCTTCCATGTCAATAGATAGATGTAGATTCAAGATACATTAACATAATTAAAAACATATATGAAAATGCCACCATGCATATAAAGCTGGACGAAAGCACAAAAACTAATCCCATAAGACTACAACGGGGAGTAAGACAAGGAGACACCATCTCTCCCAAACTCTTTACCCTTGCTCTAGAAGATATTTTTAAGAAACTGGAATGGAACAATAAGGGTATCAACGTCGACGGATCATACTTAAACCACTTGAGATTCGCAGATGACATAGTTTTAATAGCTGATAATATCCAAGAACTAAATGATATATTACAACAATTAAATGCAGTTTCAGGAGCGGTAGGCTTAAAAATTAATTACAGCAAAACAAAAATACTGAGCCGAGACCAGACAAATATAACAATACAAAATCATACCATAGAAAATGTGGAACATTATGTATATCTAGGTCATGTTATCAAACTAGGAAAACCAAATCAAGATGCTGAAATTAAAAGAAGAACACAACTGGCTTGGGGCGCTTTCAGCAAACTAGCACATATCTTGAAAAACACCTCCATTCCGTAGAAAAAGGTGTATAACACATGCATACTACCTGTTTGTACCTACGGCTTGGAGACAGTAGCACTTACCAAAAAATCTGCCAAAAAATTAGAAACAACGCAAAGAGCAATGGAACGAATCATGCTTGGAATATCACTAAGAGACAAGATTAGAAACACCGAGATAAGACGTAGAACGAAGAATAGGGATATTGTGGAAGAAATTACAAAAATGAAATGGCGCTGGGTAGGTCACGTAGCCCGATATAATGACAACAGGTGGACACGGAGAATTCTAGAATGGAGACCAAGGACGACAACAAGAAGCATGGGAAGACCTCAAAAAAGATGGGTAAATGACATAAAGCAGTGGCAGGCAAACAGTGGATTAGATTTGCGCAAGATAGAGAAAGATGGAAGCAATTGGGAGAGACCTATATTCAGGAGTGGATGGAAAATGGTTGACAAAGAAGAAGAAGAAGACTTCATCAATTAAACAAAGATAATCCTGATCGTCGGCTTTAATTTTGTAAAGAATTTAGTGAAATCGTAAATAACAGCCAACATCTATTGTACAATACGTGTTTTTTTTTTATAAGTATACTTTTATGTTAAATGGTAAAGTAAATAGACATAATTTTCGTTATTGGAGTAACATTAATCCTCATTTATTCGTGGAGACACATACACAAACACCTCAGAAATGAAATGTATGGGTTGGCAATTTAGGGACATTATTTCTTGTTTCCATAATTACCTAGGCAATTTTGGTAATCACGTTATCGGGCCATTATTTCTTGAAGGAAAGCTCAACGGAACAACTAATTTAAATTTATTAGATGACGGTATTGATCCGTTCATCACTAATACATTGGAATCTGATAATATTCTTTTAGAGGATGAACTAACTTTCCAACAGGACGGAGCACTCCCCATTGTGATATCCGAGTAAGACAATTTTTAAATCAACGTTTTCCAGGGCATTATTTTGGCAAAAGATGTCCAGTAGAGTGGCCGGCCATATCACCGGATCTTTCGCAATTGGATTTTTTAATGACACAGAATTGTGATACAGAATTGTTACAAAATGCCGATTATTGACAATGGAGCTATTTGCTAATATACGAAGAGGTTTTAAAAATATACTGTATTATTGTATGGAGATCACAGGAGATCATTTCGAACATTTATTTGATTAATTTGATGAAATTTTATGTTTTTTGTTATTACTGTGTTAAACCAATAAATTAGTTACATCCAAAATAATCTTCAAAGTTATTCCGAAAATTAAAAAAAAATAGAGCGTCGTGTAGAGAAAAATAAATACCTTTCAAATAATGTGCCACTCAACTACACTTGCTATTAAAAAAACGGATGGTTAATGCAGGGCAGTAGGGGGTTACATTTGAGGTCATGAATGTTGCATGAAAATTTGTTATCTTCCAAATAAAAAATGGCGTGCTTTTTAAAATTTTGAAGAAACTCTTCGTTTCTGAGTTTCTGGGGGGGTCAAATTTTCGCTGGAACACATATGTATATATACATATGTATAATACCGACGTTTCCTTGTTAACTGTAAACTAAAACACCTTAATTTTATTTTTTAGACCCAAATATCAGAGGACAGTGCCATTTCGTCATGTTCAACACCTTCAACTCCAACCAGTCCTATTGACTTCGAAATTAAAGTAGCCACTCTTGATGACAAGGAGGCAGTTCTGGCATTCCTGCAGAAGTTCTTCTACAAAGACGAGCCGCTGAATTCTTTCATGGAAATCATCACTGACGAGCATCCAAGATGCTATGACCTTGAACGATTTACTTTGAAAAATTTGGATAACGGCGTAAATTTATTGGCGGTACAGAATAAAAAGATCATAGGAGTTTGCTTAAATGGTAAGTTTATACAAATATTATTTAAATTCCATTTTTTGAAATCGGTAAAAAGCAAAAAAACTACTTTTCTACAGAACCTATCGAAATAGGCAGCGGAATAAAACAAAGGAATATTAACAAAGGAAGCGGATACAAAATGGGAAACAAAGAAATCGAAATACTCTGTAACTCAGACGACGCAATATTGATAGTCCAAGATGAAGATAGTCTGCAAAGATTGGTCCACAAATTTAACATAAGAGCAAAAGAATTTAATATGTCAATCTCATTTCACTAAAACTAAAACAATAGCCATGGAAGGCTATTGTTTTAGTTTTAGTTAGTTTTAGTTAGTTTAGTTTTAGTTAGAGCCATGGAACGTGCAATGCTGAACGTGAGCCTTCGAGACCACATAACAAACCAACAAATCAGGCGAAGATCATGAGTTCAAGACGTCATCGAAAGAACCACGACGCTTAAGTGGAACTGGGCAGGGCACTTAGCCAGAACACAAGATGGACGGTGGACAAGACGTATTATGGAATGGAGGCCCAGAAATTATAAAAGAAGCCGAGGACGACCACCGACTAGATGGACCGATGACATTAAACGTGTAGCGGAAACTGGCTACAAGCGGCCCAGTGTAGAGAACACTGGAAAGAACTGAGGGAGGCCTATGTCCAGCAGTGGACGCGATTGGCTGATTGATTATGATGAAAACAGTAGTAGTCAGCAAAGAACCAACGAGATGTAAAACAGAAATTGATGGCATTAGTATTGAACAAGTTATGGAAATAAAATACCTGAAAATTATACTGTCTAACTACAGAGACCTGAACAAAGAAGTGAGAGATCAAGTACAAAAAGCAAATATACTGGCAGGATGCCTTAATAGCACTATATGGCGAAACATTATACACATTAACACTAAGATGAAATCAAGAAATTATAAAGACTGTGTATGACCAATAATGACATATTCCTCAGAAACAAGACCAGACTTGGCAAAGGCTACTAGAAACGACAGAGATGAGAGTACTGGGAAGAATGACAGGAAATGTGCTCAGAGATCGAAAGATAAGTGAAGGCATTAGAAGAAAATGCAACATAGCATGTATAAATAAATGGACACAAATTAGAAAAAAATATTTCAATAACCACATAAGCAGAATGGTGGAGACCCGTCTCGTCAAAATAGCAAGAGATAAGTCACCAATCGGCAAAAGAAGTATCGGATGATCGCGGAAAAGATGGAGAGACAACTTTCCATAGAGGTATTAATCGGTCAACGAACAAGCAGAATTGCTTATAAAGAAAAAGAAGAAGAAGAAGATAAGCCCGAAAAGTTATTAAATAATGCTTATTGGTAAGGCAAATATTAAAAAATTCTAATTTTTAACGCAAGTACTTGGAGGAGATACGAAAAAAAAAAAATAGAAGTTGATATTTTAATCGTTTATAACATGAACATATAACAATTATAACAAGAACAATAAAAATTTTGCAAAAATTTCTGGAGCTATTAATCCCATCTACTAAAGACACAAAAGATCTCTAAAAAAGATATGGAATCAATCATACAAAACTTTGGAAAGTTTTGTATGATTTTATTAGTTATTAAAAGAAATATTAAGAATTGTATAGGAATCTAATTTTCCGCTTTGCAATAACTTTTTTATGGAGCAATTTTACCTTCCAAAATCTCGTTCTGAAGTTTGAGGTGCTTAGAAGCAAAACGCGTTAAGTCCAAAGACGTCACTTTTGAGAAAAGGGCAAAAAACGGTGGTCGCTTCATATTAAGATATTTTGTTTTGAAAACATGTAAAATATGTTTAGATGTTTGAGTAAATTATTGTGCAGAAATCTTGAGTTCTCAAAAAATTTCTAAACGGCTCAATTATTATTTTGAAAATGGATTTTATCTGTTTTGCTCCCAAAAGTTGATTTTTTTGCATTTTGTATCTCAGTTTATGGAGTTTATTCATTTTGCTTTAATTTGAAAGTAATAACAACTAGTTAAGAAGTGAGTAAAAAATATATTGTATGATGATTTTATTACATTCTTAATAAAAATTGAAAAAAATATCATTTTAGACACATAATTCTGGTGCTTCTTCAGTTATGCCACATAAATCTTCTTCCACTTCTACACCAACTTCACTACGTCCTTCACAAGAAGCAAAAAAATTGACGTAAAACTTTAAGCATGGATCAGATTGCCAATCAAACCCAAAATGCAATTCAAGAAGCCTTTTGACATCAGATAATTTTTTCTTGTTTACTAATGTATTGTCCTTAGCAATTTTTAAAGGATTAATGCTTAAAACATTTTCTTTCCCTTTCATAATGGATTTGAAATTACCAATGGAGGGGTAATAAAACTGTTCTGCTTGGATGAGAATCATGTGCTGGGATTTTGCTGCTCGCTTGAATTGGAACTTTTTTTAAGGCTGAAATTTAAAGTGCCATTGAGAAATATGTTTAAAATGATCTACTGCCTCTTGCTTCCAATCAAAAATATCTACGTCAATATCTAGTCGTCTTATTGTAGCATACTTTTCAATTATTTTAACATAGCCATCTGGAGTCTCGATAATTTCTTTTTTGTTGAACTCTTTTTCGCAAAGACCGAATAAACGGTGTGGTGGTATTAAAGAATGGCCTCGTACTGGAAATATCAATTGTATCTCTTCAACGTTCTTAGGAGCGAATAGAAGCCATCTGTGTAGCATAGCAATCATAGTTTTATTTTTGTTTTGGCCGTCGCAGCCATCTGCAAAAAGTTTTATCTTCTTAATTTGTGATGTAGGTATCTAAGTTTTGCAGATAATGAAATACACATGACGCTACCTCATTTGAACCTTTTGGATAAGTTCCTTCTGTCCATACGTAGCTAAAGCAATTATTTGGAGACATTTTGCACTGAGAACTACCAACAACAATAGAAAAATTGAAGAGGTAAAGTTGACGTCGATAGTAAGTCTCCTGATCTGGAATTTTGGGACTGGGCAAATTTTTCTGGCAATCGAATGAGAGCGTAAGAGTTTGATTTTCTTGTACTTTTAGTAATGCAAAAAAAGCTTTAGCCCTTTTTTTGTGAATAGCTTGGGTAGCTTTTAAAGATGAGGTTTGCTGAGGATCGGTTGTTTGCTTTATTTTTTCTGAAAGTTCCAGGCACGTCGAGCATACATCGACCCTAGGTCAACCAAAGCCCAAATTAAACTTATGCACAAAAATCTGGCGAAAGTACGAATTCTTCACTTTCAAGTTCTCGTTGGCTTGAGCGTTGTACATATTTGCTAACTTTTCTATACTCACATCAGAGGAAAGGTAACTTCGACGAGTATTGCTACGACAATAATGCAATTCTAAACACTTTAAAGAGCTGATGTATTTTATAACACCTTTTTGTCTCTCATTGAAGTTGTTAGAAATGCGGTCACCACCTCTTCTTTCCTGAGCAACATTACCATAGATTGCATAATTGTGGAGGATAGTCTGTATTCTAGAGTTACCAATCCCTAGAATAAGTCGAAAAGCCCGTTCACATACTTGAACATCTTCACCTTCACCCAATTTCCTTACGAAAAATCTTCCTGTGAAATTTTTTTCTTTTCTGTTTCCAGCTGATCTTTTTTGGCGACTACTGCGTGGAATTACTACTTTGTGTTTCATAATGAAGCTATCTTGATCACTACAGTTGCAAAAAAGCATCTCGAAATGCTGTGACATTCTCGTAGGTCAATTCATTACATTTGTATATCTTTTTCTTAGCGTGATTGCAGTCTGGCATTATAATGGGCCCATGTGGTGCCGAATATCTAGAAACAAAAACAGATTTTAGTTTATCATTCTTCAATTTTATTCTAGATTATTACCTATAGTTTAACAGTCATAATGTTTTGTATTTAACACTCAATTGTGTATATAATTTTCTATATTTTTTTGACGGAATAAACGGTAGACAGTCAGTACTAAATACTGTGATTGTAGATTTTTTCTTGTACCAAAATGTTAAACTAAAGTGTTAAAATATACAAGAAGTATTAGTTATAACGTACAAATTGGTTGTTTTTTGTGTAAAATAAACGAACTATAGGGTCAAGTTTTTTAATTACACTTTAAGTGCCTAAGTCGTATCACATATGAGTACAGAAAAAAATAGCCAAAAGAAAGAAAAATTACTTACTTTAATTTTTTTGCAACTGCTCTCTTAGTAGAAGTAGGATTACCTTTCCTCTTTCTCGCTTTAGATGGAGACACAACTGAAGGGGATTGTTCCATTTCCGGGGATAAATTTCAATATAATTATTAATATTAACCGCAAAACACCTCTCAGCACGTGGTCAGATAAAATTTACAAAGAAATCGACTGTACTCTCTATACTAAAATAAAATACTGACTGCTGACTGATATCTACTTCTGTAAATGTAGCGCCACCTCACGTGGGTCTACAGCATGCTTGTGGTTCATTGGAATCGTTGCGGTGGACTTAAGCGGAGGGGACTTAATCTGTTTTTCTTCCAAAGTAACTTTTAGTCGATTGAAATGTATTGGAATTAATTCGTTTTGACGGTAAATAAAGTGTTGTACCTATAGAATGGACTCTGGGGAACTAGTTAAGCTCAATATCTCACTTTCGACAAAAAGTGGATTTAACGCGTTTTGCTTCTAAGCACCTCGTTTATAGAAAACACGAACATCGAAGTAAAACGCATCTGTTGTAATTGGTACAATAAAATTCATGAAATATAAACAAATAGGTATAATAATAATAAGAATAATAGCTAGTGTCTTAATCTTAATAAACTAATTTAATTAAAATTCATATATAGTTCAACAGATAGGTCCTTAACCTGGTTTACTTTTTAAAAAATGTACAATTAATCTTGTTCCGAATGCCGTTGTTACTGTAAACAGTCAATTATCACTTCCGACATATCAAATAATTAGTTGTCATTTAACATTCTTACAGTTCGGATTTCGGATGTAGAAAACTGTTTCAAGTAGGGGTTTATGTTCCCTGTAGGCAATCTAAATCCATCGGCATATTGCCGAATAATTTAAGTATGATTTAATGCAGCGCTGCTCAAAGGGTCGCGGGTCGATCGCCAAAGTTTTTGAAGTCGATCGCGATTCACGGATAAAATACGGGGACTGTCCTGATTCACGACACATGCATGAAATAATTATGATACTATCTCTTTACCCGAAAGTTGCGATAATGCCGATTCGGCATATCAGCATTCACAGATAAATTAAACTGGGAGTGTGCTGTATCGGTATTGTAGTGCTGTTAGTCAAGCATTAATCATTACCAAGTTTTAGTAAAACATTTTAGTAATATATTATTTACATTAATATTTGAAACTCGATATGAATGCCGCAAAAAAGAGTAAATATCATTTTAATAATCGTGGGAAGACGAATTCTTGTTTACTATGGTGAAAGATAAGTGTGTTTGTCTTGTTTGTCGGTCTTCCATTGCTCTACCCAAACGCGGAAATTTAGAACGGCATTATAAAACTTTGCATAACGACTATGAAAATAAATTTTCTGAGCTACCGATTTACAAACTCGTGTGTATTACACGAGATGGTGCACCATCCATGACTGGCGTTGACAATGGATTTGTTGCATTATGTCCAGCCAACGATGACTTTCCATTATTTTTTTTATTTCATTGCATCATTCACCAGCAAGATTTGTGTTCCAAAATTTTAAATATGGACGATATCATGGTAAAACTCAGATAAATGAAATAACAAACAGCGAAGGAACAACCGATAATGATATGAAACAAATAATAAAGTTGACACAAGAATACTATACGCACCTATACAGAACAAGACATAAACCACAGCAAGAAATTCTTAAACAATTAAACACAAAAATAAAAAATATAAACTCTGACCTACAACCAGAAATAGGTAAAACAGAAATCAAGAAAGCAATTCAAGAATTAAAAAACCATAAGTCACCTGGAAAAGATGAAATAACTGCAGAGATGCTGAAAAGAGGAGGCAAAACAACTAGAGAAGTCCTACATATCCTCATGAACAAAATATTGATCACAAAAGAAATACCCGATAGCTGGAACGATGCGGAGACACTACTAATGTTCAAAAAAGGTGACCGAAAGAACTTAGAAAACTATAAACCCATAACATTACTAATTGTTGTATTTAAACTACTAACGAAGATCATGACAAATAGACTAACAACTAAGCTTGACGAATACCAAGCAAGAGAACAAACGGTATTCAGAAAGGGTTTTAGTACTAGCGACCATCTGCTAACAGTAAAAATACTGATTGAAAAGTCGAACGAGTATCAAATCCCATTATACATGGCATTCGTAGACTTCCGAAAGGCGTTTGACGCTTAGAACATTGGGCCATCAAAAACTCACTACAGAACGGCAGAATTGATTACAGGTACACGGACCTAATAACAAACATATACAAAAATGCGAGTACCACAATAAAATTGACGAACGAACCCGCTACAGAACCAATAAAATTCGAAAAAGAAATCAGGCAGGGAGACACAATATCGCCAAAATTGTTCAATCAGGCTATGGAAGACATATTTAAAAAATTAGAATGGGATACATACGGAATAAGATAAATGGAGAACTCTTGAACCACTTGAGATATGCAGACGATATACTCCTGATAACAGATAAGAAGGAAGAGTTACAGAAGGTGGTTGAGGAACTAGATAGAAAAGCGACAGAGGTAGGTCTAGAGATAAACTATAGTAAAACTAAGACTATGACAAACAGAGAAGACCAATTAGAAATAGTAGTCAAACAGAATAAATTAGAGCAGGTGGCAGAATACATGTACCTAGGACAGATAATTAAGCTGAACAGGGACAATCAAACAGAAGAAATAAAAAGAAGAACTAGACTAGCATGGGCCTCATTTAGTAAACTATCATATATTCTAAAAAATAAAAAGTTCCCTCAATATATGCGAACGAAATTATTCAACCAGTGCATTTTACCAGTTATCACATATGGCTCACAAACATGGACTTTCACAAAGGAGAACATCGACAGGATATCCAACACACAAAGAGCAATGGAAAGACAGATGCTGGTATCTATCTTAAAGACAGGAAAAGAAACTCATGGATCAGAGAAAAAACAAAGGTGAACGATGTATCAAGACAGGTTGCAAAACTTAAATGGAACTTCGCCGGTCACACTTTCCGGCAAAAAGATGAAAGATGGAATAAGCGAATTCTACACTGGAGATCATGGGAAAAGAAAAGAAAAAGAGGAAGACCACAGATGAGATGGACTGACAATCTTAAGAGAACGGCAGGAAAGGACTGGATGCAGATCGCCCAAAATAGAGACCAATGGAGATTGACAGAGGAGGCCTATGCCCAAGAGTGGGCGTTTAAGGCTGATTAGATAGATAGATAGATAGATAGATCATGAAGATGACCACAAAAATTATGAATTCAATCAGAGCGCGAAGCTTGCAAAGACATCTTTTTAAAACGAAATTGGAAGCTAGCGACTCATTCTGCGGAACACACTGATTTACTTCTGCATACAGGTGTGAAGTGGTTGCCAGGAGCTACTTCCTGAAATAATTCCTTTTTTAGAAGAGCGAGGGGACGACACCTATCTACTTCAAAACGAAAAATGGCTCACTGATCTGGCTTTCCTAACAGATTTAACAAATCATTTGAATCTCCTTAATTTTGAACTAGAAGGTAAACTGAAATATCCGTTACGTTTAATATGGAGATCACTTCCGATCGATATGAAATTTTGGTCTTTCATATCGTCTGAGAAATATCCGTCTTTGAGACAAGTAGCTCTGCAGCTCACAGCATTCTTTGGATCAACATACTTGTGTGAGTCTGCATTTTTCCAAATGAAGATAGTGAAATCAAAATATCGTAATCGGCTAACTGACGAACATCTCTCTATATGCTTGCGTTTGGCCCTCGGTAATTACGTACCATCATATGAAATACTTATGGATGATATGTAGTGCCATGCATCATCATACAAATAAAATTAATATGAAAAACATTACTTTAATTACAACTCTCTGTAGTAACAACTTTTTATCAACTGGAAATGTGCAATAAAGTTTTTTATTTTCAAATTTGTTTTGTTACTTGGCTTTGTTTTTAAACCAGGAGGAGTAAACTAAAGAGACAGATTCACAAGAAAGCCACTAGAAAAGATACCAAATACATCTTCTTTTTTGGTTGATCCTCCTATGGTAATCCAAAAATATTATATTATACTAATACTCGCTAGAGAGTTCTAGACTAGACTAAGAGTGCTAGACTAAAAATCTAAAATTTAAAGGACTAACGCAGAAAACACAAAAAATCGCCGATATAACTTAATTAATCTATGAAATGCCATTAGTGTCAAAATTTCACAACAGTGGAGTAAACTTGCCCGAGGTTGGACCAATAACAAACAAACATTGCGGCAAGGTAAATTTGAATTACTTCTCCTAGTTTAAAAACAGGGTATACCAGTCGATCTCCGGACGGTTGCAGTTTATGTGGTAGATCCCATGCAGTAAAGTCTGAGCACCACTGGTTTAATGCATTTAAATACAACTGCTCTGGTTTAAAGGTTATTTTGCAAGTACTACAAAGTAAGTAATTAACCGCTTGTTTTCATATAATAGTGAACATTTTACCTTACGTTTTTATTAATTTAGTGGGATTACTTGCTTTTAGGTTCACTGAAGATGAACTGATTGGTCCGAAAACGTTTTGAACTTGATGCTTTTGGATTTTTAAATTTAACTTTTAATTAAATATACCAATTACAATAGAAGTAATGGTTTTACTTCGATGTTCTAGTTTTTTAACTACATATATGGGAATCATTCCTATTTAATTTTAAAGTATATAGCATTATAGTTAAAACATGTTTGATACTATACATAGTTTTTTTACAATATTACAATGAAGCATCCAATTTTTGATTGGATTACGATACGAGACGTCTCTTGTAACTTTCTAATAGTTTTCGACAAATAAAGCAAGCCCATTAATTTTGCAATAAATATTTTTCTATTTTTTCTTATCGAAATTGTCACGACTGCCTTGCTTCTAATAAACTATTGTTCCATTTTCGAAACTATTTCATTTTATTGATTTTTATTTTCTACAAAATTTGGCTATTTTTGATTCTAATCATTGTACACTTTCAGATGTAATTGAGAGAGGAGTCATGGAAGAAGACTTTATTTGTGACGATGATAAATTTGGCAAAATTGTCAAATTACTGGAGCATGTAGCTGTAGAATCTGATCCATTCCAGATTTATCCCGGAATCGACAAGGCTATGGTGGTTAAAATATTATCTGTCGACGGTTCTTATAGAGGAAAAGGAATAGCTAAAGATCTTATGGCAAAAACCAGGTAACAAGTTTGCTTCTACGATTATTATTAACAATTACAGACAATTCTTAGTAGGTTTTGATAGAAGTGTAAAGAATAAGATTGTTTAATAGTATAAGCAATATGGTAATCTTTTGTAATCGTATTAAAAGCGTAAAAATATATCCACGGTTCTGATATTTACAGTAAACACAATATTTTTTAACTACTAAGTATAGACCAAGAATCAATATGATAAAGCTATGTAATTCAATTATTCAAAATTAAGATTCGTTTGCACTAACAATCAAATTAGTAGTCCATTGAAATGTTACAATTGTTAGGTCTTTTCGTGCGTTTTTCAGAGAACGAATTTTTATTTTTTTGATGTGTAGTGGGATGAGTATAAGCTTAAGTTCAAGTTTGTGGAGTCCTTATCCTCGGCCGTCATGTTATTTCATTAAATTAATAATTTATTATTACTTAATAATTTCATTAATTATTGAGTAATAAAATTTTAGAACGCTCCGAAGTTCTTGAATAGAACTTCAGAGTTTCGGTCTCCGAACAGTTTCTGAATACTCGCCTAGTTTTCTATTTATGTTTTTATTCATATAATGTATCATTTTCTTAACATTCCTGTTATTATTATTGACCGATTTCCCCACCGCCTATGAGGTAGGTGGAGGCGCATTTTTTTTACGTGGTATCCCGTGCAGGCCCAATCCACGGACAATTTCTGGGTGGGACAATATCAAGCATAATTATATGTTTAAAAAGTTGTTTTCAGCTACTGTTTCTTTTTTATTTTCTTTGATGATCCAGGCTACAGTTCAGGTCTAATTCAGTATAGGAGTTGAATGTTTGCGGAATAACGGAAGTCAGAATTGGCATCATTGTGGGTAATTCATATTTGAATTGATTTTCTTTAATTAATTTTGATATTTTCATGATGGTACTGTAGGTTTCACCAGAAAAATTGAGGCACATTGCAGAGCATTTGAGGCCTGCTGTTCGACAACCACACATACTTCCACAGTTTCCGTGGCATATGCACAAAATGAATTTCTGAAGACCGGAGGTGTTGGAGGCTTGGAAGTTTGGATTGGTATCCAAATTTTTCCATACCCAATCTTTAGGATGACAGTGTTTGCCGAGCCACGACTAAAGCTAGGGGACAGTGAAAACGGGCTGCATCTTGTGTCGGAGTAAGCGATGATAAGTTAAATGTATTTTTGGTCACTGTTTTGGCGAATCGTTTATATCGAATGCTGTCTAAGGAATCATTTTTATTTCCATCTTATGAAAGAGACGGAAAAACGTTTGTCAAAGACAGGGAGCAAACATGGCTTCACTTTCTCATCGATAAATAATGCTGTTTTGCTAGCTAACTCAGGATATTTTGTAAAATTATAAATATTCCTGAAAAAGCATGGAAAACAGCCAATTAGCTGCAATGGCATTGCCATATGTAATACTTAAAGGACAGAATAATAATTGATTAGACGCAGACCCTTTGGAATGTTTAAAAAAATATATTGAACTACTTCCTTCCTAATGTCCTGAGTAAGACAAGAATGCCAATGTAGTCTGGTATGATAGTCACAAAATCATATGATTAAGATACACCAAGTGAAGAAAGGATGATGACTGTATCTGATTCAGCCTGGTTGATACTAAAACTAACCTCTGATAGAGCAGTTTTGAGAAGTGTTCTTATGAAACTTTATCTCTGTCGATTGGTACCATTTCGTGCAACACAAGTACTACTATGACTTTGTTCCTACGAGATCAGGGTTTTTCTATACGGGATCTTTTCTTCTTCAAGTGCCATCTCCGCGGCGGAGGTCGGCAATCATCATAGCTTTTTAGACTTTTGAGACGTCTGCTCTGAAAAGTTCATTTGATGTACATCCATACCACTCTCTCAGGTTGCGCAGCCATGACATTCTACGCCGTTCTATGCTTCTCTTTCCTTGGATCTTTCCCTACATAATCACTTGGAGCAAGGTGTATTTCTCTCCACGTCTAATATGTCCAAAATATTCCAATTTTCTTGTTTTAATTGTATTTAAAATTTCTAGTTCTTTATCCATCCTTCTCAGAATCTCTTTGTTTGTCTGTACACGATATTTACCCAACATACTCCTCCGTATTGTTATTCAGAGACGAATTTCGATTCTAAAACCACTTTATGTAATGGAAAACCCTATTGATAATAAAACGACTTCTTTGACTGTTATTAGAGGATTGTTCTACTGATGTAAATCCATTAAACAAAGATAACTTGTTACCATTTCTCATGCTATCGACAGCTAATAATGACAATGGAAAAGGTCCTAATTCGTACCATAATCAGAAGTCGCTCCAAGTCCTTCAAATTTTTGGCAAATTCGGTTGAAATCGTAATTGCCTCCCAAGTATATTTGACATGTTGTATGTGATTAGAGTCTGATTAGGTGCTGGCCAGCCCATTGTTCTAATGTAAAATTGAAAAAAAACATGATAAAAGTAAAAGTAGAAGAAGAACTAACCGACCCTATTGAAGCTGGCAATGAAATTAGGCAGGGAGATTCCCTGAGTCCTCTATTATGTAATCTGATATCGGATGAAATAATAAAAAAGTAAGAACCAAAGAGGATACCAAATGGGAGAAAATCTACTTAAAATAATCTGCTATGCAGACGACGCAATACTACTCTCTCAAAGTGAAGACAATTTACAACATATGCTGCACCAATTTAATATATCCGACAAAAAATTTAACATGTTAATTTCCCCAAAAAAAGACAAAATGCATGGTTAAAACAGCAAGTTTACTAAGATGTAAATTGGAGCTGAAAGGTCAGATAATAGAACAAGTAATGGAGTTTAATAATCTAGGCAGCACATTATCCCGCTACCTAAAGCTCAAAACTAAAATGGAAGATCAAGTGAATGGAGCAAACAGACATGCAGGCTGCCCGAATAAAAAAATATGGAGAAATCATCAGACCAATAATAACATAAACAGCGGAATCAGGACCTGACATAAAGGACAAAAAGGATGTTTGAAACATCAGCGATAAAAACACTTAAAAGATTTGATGGTAAGACACTATGAGACAGAGCTAGAAGTACAGATATATGACGTAGATGCAATCTGGAAAACATCAAGAACTAGGTAAGAAATAGAAAAGTAGAATAGAACGATCATATAAGTCGAATTACAACAAATAGAGTAGTAAAGACAGTTCCCCAGTAGTTCCCCATCTTTACAATGGTTATTTGAGATCCAAGTTATTTAACCGTGGCAACTAACTTAGTACAAGTATACTTTTACAAGTCCACTTGGTCCAAGTTGGAATCCAAGCATTCTTGGATCGCGTCAACCCACCTTTAACAGAGAGAGAGATTTTACAGCGGACTGAATTAAATGCCAACTTCTACATTTCTCTTCTGTATCCAACATAAAAATTTTATTCCACGTGTGTCTCTATTATCAACGTTTGCACTTTTGAAAAAAGTATGTTTAACCCAAAAAAAGCTTCTCGTGTCCCAAAAGCGTTGCGGAAACCACACTAGGCATCGTCGATGATTTTTTCACATTTCTTTCTTATTTGGCCATGTATAATTCGGAGAGACCGAGTTTGTAATTGCTGAAGTGTCGAGGTTTTCGTTTTTTTTTTTGGCAAGCAATGTAGACGTTAGCCAATTGTTAGGTTTCATATCCTAATCTGAATGTTGTCTTCGTTAAGTATTTTAAGGTGTTCAACAGTAATGTTTTCCTGACCGAGTGCTTTTTTGGATTTAGCTGTATTTATGGCGTATCTTAGTTTCCACAGTATGATTTTTGTATCTTCTTCAAACTGACTTACTTCTGTATCATCTAACCTAAGATTTTCAAACTGCTTCATAATATAGGACCTCCAAGTGTTCAGGATTTTTTAGTCGTCGATTATACGTTTGTCTCTGTCGTCAAATGAGACATGAGGCGATTACTTTCGCTATGTACCAGCTACTGATTTAAGCTTTGTGTGGATGTTATGTATATTATGCCTATAATTCATTTTATTCCATTTATTCGCACTCGTTTTCGTAACTACCTATCTACTTTACATAATAATTTTAAGTACAATGACCTTTGCATTTAAAATAATTAATTTGCATTCAAGATTCATTTCCACCTTAGGCTTTTTTATAATTAAATTCGTAAGAATGGAGTATAACGGAATTCTCGCAAGAAATTAATATTAAAAGGTTTTGACTAAATTTATTATTTATTTCTTTTCAGAGAACTGGCAAGACTAAAAGGATGCGGCTTCATAACTGTAGACTGTACCAGCCACTACACTGCGTGTGCTGCAAAAAAGCTGGGATTTGATCTGCATTATACTCTCAACTACGCCGACTACAAAGTGGACGACAAAGTGGTTTTTAAACCAGAACCACCCCACAAAGCCTTGACAGTGTACACCCAGAAGATTTTTTAAATATTCGCTACAAAAAAATATATTGGCCTACAATATTTAGTTACCAAGTTACTAGTGAGATTCTATAATATGTGTGAATTCAACAGATAAACTTAAACCTTGCGGATGATTAAATTTATACATGACAATATATTTGTATTAGTTTGACATCTATTAAAGAAAATCAAGCTGTATTTTTTTCGTGAGGATGCTGGATTGTATTATAAACTCACAAAAAGAATATTGCGTAGTTCATTTTCGGAAATTTACTATTTTTTAATATTTGTGACTTATGTTGCTTAATATTGTTCCGCACTGGAGTGTTTAATTATTTATACTTAAATAACTTTTAACAGAGATTTCACGAATTTATTAAAATCTCTTGTTTTTTTTTTGCTAAGACAGATAATAATTGTTGTAATACAACATTCATTATTTTAAATCATATAATAATGAATAATAATATTACTTTATTACTGAGCCTTTCCCTTACAGCTCTAATGAAAGCCTACAACCTCCCAGATATACTGCGCAAAAGATCTAATTCTTCTTCTTTATGTACCATGTCCTTTCAGAACGTTGGTTACCATCATAGCTACCTTAATTTTATTCACTGCCACCCTAAATAGCATGCTTGTATCAACACCATACCAATCTCGCAAATTCTTCAACCATAAGGTTCTTCTTCATCCTGGACTGCGTTTGCCTGCTATTTTTCCTTGCATGATATTTTGTAGCAACCTATATTTGGGACCTCACATTACATGTCCGAAATACTCCAGCTTTCTCTGCTTGATGCTGATGATCTCAGTAGTCTTGCTGAGACATTCTAGTATTGTGGAGTTTCGAATCTTCTCTACCCAGGAAACTTTTAAAATTCTTTTAGATCTAGAAAAAGATCTAATTGCTCAATTGAATTCGAATCTATATTCTTTTGTACGTATATTACTTTTCAGCTTTTCCGTACTATTAGCAGTGTGTCAGTACTATTATCTGGCACTAGTCACTAAACACCTTCAAGTTACTGAATCACTATTCTTACTGCAAATTATTGGACATTACTACATATTAGCACAAAATATTCAAGGATGCTACATATATACCTGTCGAACCTGTTAATATTCATTTATAAATTTATCTTAATGAGCTCTGTACCTCTCTTGAGCAATGCTTTGTTAATAACATTAAAGAAGCTTTAAAGCTAAAATTATGTACACAATTGGGTGCTGCAAACTTTCCTGACCTTTTGTATACAGGTCGATCAGTCTTTCATAATCGACTTAAAATGTGCCTCGGCGTCTTGCGATTCCCAATCTTGTCCTTTCTTTTAAACGCCATACTTCACAGCCTTGCTCTTTATTATAGTATTGTAAATTTGCTTTTTATTCTCGTTTTTTATTGTTATAACCCATAAGACTCCATTTACCATTGATATTGCTTTCTTTCCGGTTATATTTCTGTCCAATATTGCTTCTTCGAGAGTCTGTCACCTTTTGATATTTTCATCCTCAGATATTTGTACACAGATCCGTGTTTCACTGCTAGATATAAATCTTGTGTTCCTCCAATGCGCCTATACTCTGTTTTAACTACGTTGAGTTCTATGCCCCAAATTTTATATGCTTCTACCATCTTGCGTATATTCTAAATCGTGTATATTATGTGCTACAATAATTTGATGGTCTACAAATGACAATGGTTGTAGCGTCATCCAAAGTTATGCCCATATTTTGGCATTTCTTTTTCCAAGTAGCTAGTGCTTTCTCCAAGTATATTTTGAATAAGGTTGGTGGCAGACAACATCCTTGTTTTAATTCCTTTTGGTATGTCAAATTCTGGTGTTAGTTTTGCCCTAGCTTAATTCGTAATTGGCTGTTTTTATAGAGTGATTTTACCGCTTTATCACTGTGTCTATATTGGTGTTCCAGAGTTGTAGAGTTTCCCAGAATTTACTTAAATGGACGCTATCTTACGCATTTTTTAAATCAACGGGTAATATATGGATTTCTTGATTATTTGCTTCTTTATCTTATGCTTTTGTTCTATTTTTGTGTATTATCGATATATAGGATATCTTCCGTTCTTCTGCGACTTTCGATGTATTGATACATATTGTGAAATAGATCTTTTAATAGACAGTATAGCTTATCTGTTCAGGTTTTTAATTAGGTCTTGTACTAGATTTTATGGGCATAACACTTTCCTGTTCTTTTAATTAAGAAAAGTGGTTTACTTCTTTAAGATTTAGTTTGAGGGGGAAGCCTTATGTTATAATCTGGTCATTTATATTTTCACTGGTTTTAAATTTGTTTGTTTTTCATTAGGATAGTTGCAAACTGGTTTTTCCATGTTTTATATATCTTTTATGTTTTTAATTTTTTCCTAATTTCTCTACGTCTTCTATCTCCAAGATATATATGTATTCTGGAACATGTTTTCTCCCACTTCTCATTTTTATGCTTACAGATCAGTTTTCTGACAATAGCTTATGCTTTTTTAAATTCTATTTGTCGGCCATCGTTTGGTAGCTTAGAGAATTGTGGTATTGTTTCCTTGTTTGTTCTATTTCCTTTTCAATTTATGTATTTAACCAATAAAGGTTATTGTTATTTCTTTGTTTTCCATTTAACCTAAGGCTTTTTACGCCACTGCATACATGTAATTTTTAATGTGTTCGTATTGCTCTTCTGTACTCCCAAATTCTTTTTTAGCCATTGCCAAAATGCGCATATGACACGTTGCATTGTTCTGATGGAAAATGATTTTTTTCTTTCGGAAACTGAGTCGTTTTTCACGATTTTTTTTTCTTCGGCCGGTCTACAAAAAAATTCTTTAACATCTCAAAAAAACTGATGATAAGACGTTCTTGGCTGATTTCTGGACATTAACTCGTTTAGGAGCTGAATAAGCAGATTCACAGCACTCTTTAGCCTCTTGTTTTTATTAAAAATTATATTGATAGACCTAAGTCTTATTCATGGTGATGAATGGACTCACAAAATTCACGTTATTGCATCAAAAACGCTCCAATGTTGCTGATAAAGTCGCATTTGAATGTGATTTTGTTCCATTGTTAGCGAATGGGGCACCCCTTTTGAACACAGCTTTCTGAAACCCAATACTTTAGTCAAAATATTGCTTACACTGTCCAACGATGCCCAGAGCTTTTACTAAATCTCTTTCAGTCACTGAACGATTTGATAATACGATGTTCTGTATTTTTTCTACGATTTCTGGTGTCGTTGCTGTTTTTAGATTCCTTGATGTGGGCCGTCTTCAAAGCTTGTACGACCAAGTTTAAATTTAGCAACCCATCTTTTTACTGTACTAATTGAAGGCCAAGAGTCCTTATACACTTTTAACATTCGTTCAAAAATTTCATTTGCTTTCAAACTTTCCAAAAATAAAAATTCAATCGCTTTATAATACTTGACTTTTTCCATTGTAAAAAAATATTGCTTTACGTCGATACTAAACAGTTTATAATCAAAGAACCAATTGACAAATTATAATGAAACTTCACGTACGTTCATATGAAGAACGTACCAACATAACAAAAAAGCATTAGGATAATAGCAACGCCCTTTTTTATTGCAACACTTATTGAACAGCTCATTATTTTCTAAAACTTTTGTGTACTTTTTCGTAACTTGGTCCGTCTAGTCAAAGGTATTTGATTAGGTTTTTGGCAATATTTTTCACATAGGTCAGAGGGCTGGCCTGTCGTTGTAACGCTCTTTCTTTATCTGGGCTTGGGACTGGCCAGAGTAAGTGGTATGCTACTCGATCCACACAACTGCCATCCCAGATGAAATGACAATTAATATGTGCTCCTGCAAATTGCAAACGTGAAATTTTGCAGCTCTCGCAGGATTTTTAAATTTAAGCTTACCTTTTTGGGTCTGCTTATTACTGTTTTATCTGAGACATTGACTTATCTTGAATTCTAGAATTAATTTAGATTCGGTATAGACCAAAGTCCCAACTATTGATTATCTCTTGGTACTGTACATGTTTTACAACCTTGACCAGGCAGTCAAGTTTGTATTCTTTAGGTTTATTATATACTGCTACTTTATGAGAAATAGTCCATTGATGAATATTAATATTTGTTCAATATGCTCTTGTCTTGTCTGTACCCCTCATTTCCTAAAAAACATTTAAACATCTTGTTAATTAAAACTATACATGCTCGCGAAAAATGTTAAATTAGGTTAAATTCAATATGCTTAACTACCTTTTTACTCGATCTAAGAGTTCTATTGTGGCTCATCCCTAAATTAAAGTTATCCTTTTAGCCCAGACTTTCTATCAAAGTCTATAATGGCCTTTGGTAACACTTCTACCAAGTCGTAAAGCTTTATTTTATAATGATCAAATATATTGAGCCTTATCCTATCCATCTCTGGGCAGTTGCACAGAAAGTGTTCCACCGTCTCATCTTCAGCCTGATCTGCAATTTGCACTCTCTGCCAGTCCGATTTTATTCATGTTTCCCTTGTAGCAAAGGTGTTCTCTTAGGAGACGATAATTTGCAGATTTTTTTATTTATCTCTAGTAGATCTTTAAATATATTCTTCGAAGATTCATCTATAAAAAAATCCTTCGAATATTTAAGACCCACTTGTTCGTACCACTGATTACGTTTTATCCGTTTTACCCTGTCCGATATCGTTCTTTTTCGGCCGTACTTCTTGCTATTATATCGACAGCTTCTGGGCTTACCTACGTTTATTTTACCTCTCCCCTAACAAGTATGTCCAGCACCCAGAGTAAACGTCAAATAAAAATAATACATTGTTTTGTTTTTCAAAGCAAAATTGTGATAAGATATTGCATTTCACAACAATATCAAATTAAATTGAGTTACAGCCTACTGAAAATGCTCCAGTGAATAATATTTAGAAAGATAAGTAGTATCAAAAGTTTGAAAACAAAAGAAAATAAAGACTAAAAAAATGTGAATATTTTGTTTCTTACTGCATTATTATCCATCTAAAATGTGATTTGATACCGATTTTCAAAATCATATAATCTTTAGTATTATGCTTTCATGCTTAACATCTTCATCGATTTATTTTGCTTTATTAGTTTCTAGAGAAAAAAAGCTGCTCTCCTATTTGTTTTTACTAAACTATAAAAATCACAAGATTACTAAAACCTGTTTGATTTACACAAATTATAGGATTTTATTTATTGAATTCAGATGTGATATTAAATTTATGGAATTATTTCACTGACAATAAAATATATAATTATACACTTTATATACTATGCATAGAGATATTGGACAGTCTAATGTAAGCTTTAAAATTTTTATAACACATTCATCCTGGTTCATCAATCCTGGTATCATCGTACCTATACAACGTATTTGCTTTCAGGCTTTCCATTAGGACGTATAGAGATGTAAAAACAAAGCTTATTTTCGTATCATCCTCTGGACATGTTCTCATTGCACCTATTATGCATACACAATGAAGCTTAGCGACATTATTCCTCTGTTCCTCTATTTGCCATTTAACTGTTCTCCCATTTGGTGTGGCAGTTTTAAGATCAAGTTTCCTTTTTTTAGGATCAAGGTGGTTTTTGTGGGGTTTTAGATGTTTTCGGACTATATATATATATATATATATATATATATATATATATATATATATATTATATATATATATATATAGAGTAATAGAGTAGCTCAGTTATAAACGCTAGAATCAGTTCTTCAACAAATGTTTAATTTCTGCAGGTATCAAATCTGAATTCAAAAACTGTTTTAAATTTTAATATGTTACCATTGTTAAAAAACTACTTTTTTATTAGTTGAATTGATTTGCTCAATGCTGTATCTTTGTTTTAAAAGGTAGAATATGTTTTTATATGTATATTAATTGGTTTATAAAAATTATAAATAATGAAACTCTTATTGTGTGATTTAAGTTAAGTCAAGAAATATTACCAAATAAGAATTGCAATTAACGCAAAAAAATTTCAAATATCTGTATATTATATAAAAAATGAATGTATGGACTGCTCCAAAATACTATTACTCGCAACATATAAATCAAATAGAGATTTTTGTCATCTTTCTATTTTACTTTCTTTCCATTTTCTTCAATTGTAGGTACACATGAGGTCTAACAATTTAATTCCCAGACTGTTGGTATAAAATCTTTATTCAGCATTTTTTATAATTTTTTTTTTAATTTTTTTCAAGGCGGCTCAAACGTTATCATGTCTGACTATCACGCATAAGGCCAGAATTCAATTCTCAGCGCATTCCCAGACATCTACATATTTTTAAAAGATCTAGCCCCTAGGTCGACTCAGTCTGTATAAAATAAGTACGTCGAGTAAAATAAGGGGTATTGATATGCGGTCGAAGTTTACCAGTGGCCCTGCTACCTTTATATGTGTATAACATAGGCTCAAGAAATAGAAGACTATCCTTCTATACTATATATATGTATATATATATATATATATATATATATATATATATATTATATTTTTTCTTTTTGCGCTTAAATATACTCTTTTTCCGCCTCTACATCGGTTCATGTGAAGGAGTGCAAAGTAATGCTGCCTATAGTCATCTTCCAACAGACTGTTAATTATCTGCGCCGTGTGGTAATCGTAGCGGGTTACTTTCAAGCAGGATTTGATTTTTGGTATCAATTAGAAGTCACAGGTTGCTAAATCTGGCTAGAAGGGCGGGTGCTCCATGATTGTGACCTGGTTTTTGCCAAATCGTCATTAACCGAGAGCGTTGTGAGCAGGCG